CACACTAGCGTTTTCTCATTAGCCACTGGCTTACACAATACTTACTCGCAATATCTGATGTCTGTACAGTGTGGAATTCGTTAACCACCACTGACAGAGCTGAGTCGACTGGCCCGTCGGAGCAACGTTGTCTCCCGGGACGATAAGGTGGGCRCCACACCTCAGTACGCCTCTYCCTCCATCAGTGGAAGTCGCCRAAGTTCACGGGTTCACGGGCACCAATAATGTTCGGTTTTTTAACCTAGGAACTCAGAGAAACCACAACAAGCCCGGCCGAACATTAATCAATGACATCAGAGACCAGTAAGATTTATAGATTCACTTTGCAAAGAGGAGAAGCTCAGTGATACTTAACTCAGACGAAAGCCTGGTGAAGATCAGAGAAATTCTGACCTCTGGGGGCGTGAACAGTCGTTTTATTCAGACATGTAGGAATGAGGTCACACAATGTAACAACAAATCAGAAATCAGTTATGTGGTTTGTCATAGACATAGGGACCAATCAAAACACTTGTTGCTGGGGTTTAATATGTGGATAATAGTAAAAACAACACAGACTGGTTTTGTCTTTCTAGCTCTGCTTAAAAGCAGTTTCTACCTGCTACACTCTGTGGACACGCCATGATGAATAATAAATTTGTCACGTACCTCAAGACTTTATTTGAAACACCTTAAGAAGTTTAATAAATCCAATAAAACTCTATCACGCAGACACACATTCTTCCTTTGATTTCTTTATTTGAACAAGATTCAGAATTGGAGTCAAGATTGTCAATTGCTAGATTTGACTGAAAATACCTCTTAAAACCCACAATTATTCGTACACAAAAAAAAAGAACTAAAACATCCTATTTAAGGCATAGAAAAGCTGTCATTTTTATATAAATTAAACTTTACATAGACGTGGTTTTAAGGAGACTGCTTGTGAAGCCTATAGTGCAGTTGTGTTTATTTGAAGAAAGCATCATTAGTTCATGAGAGGTCAAATCGACACATTTATGTTTTAAACTGGAATGTTCCTCACCATTCACGCTGTAAATGATATTTCTTCAAAATTAGGCACAAATAATCTATTTCGCTGTAAGTTATATGAAAAAAAAAAAACCTCCAAAAACAAACCTTAGTGGCTAAAAGAATCGGGTAAAAAGAAACCCGTGAAGGCACACGCTGCTGCAGATCCACTTGTTTTTCCTAACGTTCTGACCTCTTTGCTCCAAGAACTGCAGGATCACTCTGAGCTACATTTTCCTACTTCACAGTTCAGAAGAAACCTGCCTCGGCTCTTCTAACCTCTTCAAACGAGTCAAGGCAGAAGCGTTCAATTAAACGTCTAAATCTTCAGCTTTTCCCAGTAAATCTCCTCGATTTGTCTCGTTTAGTGAACTCGTCAGTCTGAGACTGAGCGGCCTGCTGCGCTGACATGTTGCAGCTCTGCAGCGCTAGCCTGAAACTTTAGGGTTAAAAGTCTTTCATCTTAAACGCAGCTTGTTAAAACGGTTACATCCAGTTTGTGATTCATCCAGTTAGCCCTGAAGCTGCTCCACTGCTCCTAATCCGGCTGCAGCGAAAGGGGAGCTACAACAGGTTTCGTGTCCCCAAAACCGCCCCGGAATCCAGTTGTTTTAGTTAAAGGTAGGTAAACGATCCCTGCTGAGAGTCTGAAACCAGAACGATGATGATGTGAACCCTCCTGATGAGTCACGCAGGGTTTCATGGAGCTGCAGTGCTGGGACTCAGTGGACCATCTGAGGAAGACTGGGAGGACGCAGTGATACATTTCAGGTGGTGTTGGGGGTGGGGTCACAGGGGGTCCGTGCGGGCGAAGCAGCCATCACACACTCTGACGGGGTGGTCCCAGCCTCTGGAGGGAACGGCCTTGATGTGAGTGGAACAGCGGCCACACACTCCCTGCCCGCAGGCCCTGCAGTGGTGCTTGGACATGGCTGCCGTGAAGGTTTTGGAGCACTGATGGCACTGGGTGATGTTCTGATCCGGAACCCAGTAATCCGGCCGAGCCACGTCTTTTACAAAACCTGAGGGAGACGGATGGACGAGGACAGAAGTTAGAGCAGATTTTAATGGGGATATTTATAGTTACAGCTCAGATTTTATAAAGTGGGATAGAAATTTATAACTACACCTTATTTAGCCTCAATAAACCATTAATAACTAGTTAGTTAACCTTCATCATTATTTAAGGATGATTCATACTTAGTAAGCTGTAAACTAATACATTTATTACTACTTAACCCATAAAGGCTCATTACTTTCAAAATAAACATTCATATTTTATTCATGTTTAATAACTCATGAATTAGCTATTCTGTATTCTGTGTGTATATGTATGTAAATACTTGTGTATACAAGTATGTTCACCTGTATCATAAACTGTAAATATCTGTTATTTTTCATTTAATAAAATGCAAACATTTATTTAAGATCCATCCATCCATTATCTTAATCTGCTTCTTCCTTTCAGGGTCACTGGTGCCCATATCCAGCAATCACAGTGCGAGGGGCGGGGTACACCCTGGACAGGTCGCAAGTCCATCACAGAGACACACAACCTTTCACTCTCTCACTCACACCTAGGGACAGTTTAGAGTTATCAATTATCCTAACAGTCATGTTTTTGGTCTGTGGGAGGAAACCGGAGTACCTGTAGAAAGGCCACGCATGCACAGAGAGAGCATGAAAACTCTACCCAGAAAGGTCTCCAGCCGGGATTTGAACCAGTGACCTTCTTGCTGAGAGGCATCAGCTCTACCAACTGAGCCACCGTGCCACCATTTAATTAAGATGTTAAACAATAATATAACTTTAATGATGTAATATGATTTCAGTCAGATTTTTTTTAAAATCTGGATTAGTAGAAGGTAGGCGACACAGTGGCTCAGGTGGTAGAGCTGATGCCTCTCAGCAAGAAGGTTGCCAGATCAAATTCCACCCTGGGGACCTTTCTGGGTAGAGTTTGCATGTTCTCTCTGTGCATGCATGGGTTCTCTCCGGCTTCCTCCCACAGACCAAAACCATGACTGTTAGGTTCAATGGTAACTTTAAACTGTCCCTAGGTGAGAGTGAATGGTTGTTTGTCTCTGTGTCTCTGTGATGGACTGGAGACCTGACCAGGCCCCTCGCACCGTGACTGCTGGATATGGGCACCAGCGACCCTGAAAGGAAGAAGTGGGTATAGATAATGAATGGATGGATGGATGGATAGTAGAAGAAAAACAATCAGTGAATGGATGGAGCTTCTTTGCCCCGGGGCAGGTTATGAGTTCAGTCATGGTGATCTAATCAAAGTGATCTGTCTTCACGGTACCAAAAACTCAGGTTTTCTACGTCTCACCGGTTCAACATAATCAGTTCATCTCATATTATCATATAAACCTTTGTAAACTGTCTGGTCTTTCTATGCTGTTACTCAGTTTTCCAGTTAAATGTTTCACTGTTTGGATCTGATTCTGTCTTTTGCTTATTAGTTTAAAATATAGATATTTAGTCCAAGTGCAACATTTTTTTTATTATGATAAGAGACAGAATTATTCTGATCTATCTTGAGTTGTTTTACAGAGTTATTGTGACAAGTAGATGTTGTCAATAACAGACGTTTACAGTAACTAAGTACATTTACTTTGTTACAGTACTTAAGTAGTTTTTTTGAGGATTTGTAATTTTACCAAGTAATTTTTTAAATAGCTACTTTTACTTTTATTTCTTTACATTTTAAAGCTAAAAATGATACTTTTACTTCTTTACTTTAAAATGTTAACACCTAGTTAAAATAAAATATGTTTTAACTCATCACAGAAGAAGATGTTTATATGCTCTAAATTAAAAAAATGTAGTGTTGAGTTTACACAACAAAGTCAGGTAAACTGGCTCCACTAAGCCTAGTTGAATAAACTGAGCAAACAATATACATATATTGCTCAATTTACTCAACCTGGCTCAGTGGAACCAGTTTGGTTCAGTTAATTCAACAATTTATTTCTTAGTGTGTGTAAAAGTACTTTTACTTTTACTTAACAGTTTTATGACTTTTACTTGAGTATTTTTCTCATCAGTGAAATGTATTTTTACCAAAGTAATTTTCTGTTCATGTAATTTTACTTTGACTTAGTTATTTTTTTCCAAGTACTTTATAGACCTCTGCTCAATAACTAACCTGACGACACTAAATGTTGGCAAACTACCAAACCGTAAGGCTCCCTGCCCACAACGTCTGCATGTTTAGTTTCTGATATCTGTTAACAAAGTTTACTACAGGAGTGATTCAGCTCATTAAATGAGTTGAGTGTTTCAGTGAGAATCCTCTGGAACATAAAGGAATGATGCAGCAGCACTCACAGAGAGGGTAGTCCACAGCTGTAGTCACCATGTCGAGTGTAGACTGGGCCACCTCCGTCACCCTGCGAGCTATCAGACCACTTGGCTCCACCTTACACGCTGCTTCAAAGAGCAGAGATTGTGTTGAAGAAGCAAAGTTAGAACAAACTCAGACAACTCAAATGTTAGAGTCAACAAGACAAACAGGACAAGAACTTGTGTTGGAATTTAACTCTGGGTTTAAAGCTTATTTGTTTGCAGTCTACACTGATGGACTGCCTGTGTCGTACCCTTGTCGTTGGTGTCAGTTGGACCCCCCTGCCGGTAGCAGGCCTGACACACCCTGACAGGACTGCTGCCCCAGCCCCGCTCTGGGACGGGCATCCTGTTGTTGGAGCAGGGATGGCAGAAACCTTCGCCACATGAGCGGCAGTGATGTTTCCTCTCTGCCTCCTCAAACACCTTCTTACATTCATGACAGGCCTGAGGGTCAGCAGGGACAGGAGGAGGAAACGATGACGACACTAAATATTGGTGGCTGCTCTGCTTTAGCTCTTCATACTCACAGTGATCTCTGCGTTGGGTCTCCAGTACGGAGGGGCCACCTGGTCAGTGAGCCAGGCTGTGACAGCTTTAGTGGGACCGGTGCTGTACTCAGACACAGACTGGATCACAAAGCTCATCCCATCCAGGACCCTCTGAGCAGCGTTCTGATGGCTGGTCAGGAACGTGTCCGACTGAGAGAAGAGACCAAACAAAAAGTTGATGATTCAATCGTCTGGGAAAGACTTCAAGTTTTTGTTACAAGCTAAAATTAGAAAATAGTTTATATCATTTCAACACTGAAGTTAAATAAAAACATTTCAATACGTTTAAAATAACACAGATTCACAGCTGTCTACAGCTTCTTGTTGGATTCCTCATGGCTCAGTACTGGAACCACTTTGACTTTTCCTGATGATACCAATATTTTTGTTGTGGGGGGGAAAACTTAACTTTTGTTCAGTGAAATGAGAGCTAAAAACTTTAAGTAGAGAGGCGAGGAGGACAGGAAATTCGGAACATTTGGTATTTTTTTCGGTATTTTCAGAGATGCAGTGAGACTGAAAGCAGCAAGAAAAATTCAAGGCCGCTTGTCCCAAAACAATTGTGTTTATCTTTTCAGATCCCAGCTGCTGGCCTCGGTTGGCACGTTATCTAAAAATTCCCCGGGAGGATACGTCAACAAGGGCTTGAGCCCCACCCCCCCCATCCCAGCTGTCTTACTCTAGTGAGTTGTTTTTTTGTGCATATGATTCTGAGTTTTATGAGTAAATATAGGATCAGAACAACTTTTTTTTAACTCACCTATCCTTTTGTGTCTTTCCAAGCTGCAAAAGGTAGCGCAACCATGTTACCTGTTCATCCGTTCCCCCATGTTTGTCATGCGTGTCTTTCTTTTTAACGGGTGTTCTTAACTGCCATTTCGTTCTGCATTGCATCTCTGATGTTGTGTGTGAATGACGATAAAGCTGATTCTGATTACAATTGAAATTGTTGCTAAAACAATGACAATAAATTCAAGTAAAAAGAAATTTTTACATTTGGACAACCGTTTAATGAACTCAACAACTAAATAGAAGCTGAAATAGAAAAAAATGTTTGAAATCTATTTTTTAAGTTAATTATTAACATAATTTTGTTGGAAACAACATATAAATGATTTTAAATAAACTGTACAAAGTGAGAGATGTATTAACTCAGGCTTCATTCAACAGGGTTTCCCACAGTACTTTATTAGCCTGGCGGGCTGCCAGGCTTTACATGTTCTTCTGCCAGGCCAAGAACAGTTCATTTCTTAGAGCGGATGTCACTCAGATCGGACGTTGCTAGTGGAACGTGCTAAAAATAGCACCACCACTGTTAGAGCAATGAAGTAAACAGCTCTAATAACGCTCCTTAGCATTCAGAAATAAGTCATAGTTTCATATAAACTCTTTAGACTTTAGACAAAATATACTGAACTGCAAATATTACCGGTCCTGATTTATATCAGCAAAATTATCATATTTATTCGTGTATAATACGTAAAATTTAATCCATAAAATATTATACTTGGATAAATATTTTTTGCTTATGTATTTTAACTGAAATATCGGCAAAATTATTAAGTCCGGAAATGAGACCGTGTTGTAAAAAGCAGTTGAAACGAGCTCACCTGTGACACTCCTCCGTGCTTCAGAGCGAGATAGTAACAGATTCAAGCAGGCGACATGATGTGAAAAAAAAGGGGGGGAAGGTAGTCCTGCACCTTGGTAATGATAACGAACTAATGACATTAGCGTGTGACCGAGCTGCTGCTGGAACAACAAACACATGTCCATCTGACGGCCGTCTACCGGTGTTCTAAAAAAGTTTGTATTCCTGAAAAAAGTTTCCCCGCCAGAGGGGGCGCTCGCGAGTAGGAAGTAATCTGTTTGTATCTGCTTGAAGATTGTCCAAATCTCATGTGAAGTCTCTGACTTTTGTGTTGGTGCATCCTGGTGGACTATGTGTAAAATGTCAGAATTCATATGATGCTGCTACACCTGATATGTTGTCAAAATACCTTTTAGTACATATGTTGTTAAAATAAAATGAACAGTCCAAGCTCAAAAAAAAAAAGGGGGGGGGGGGGGTCGTACTATACATGAGATCATATTATACACGAATAAATACGGTAAGTACTGTTTTATGTTTAACTAGAAAACTGCATTTCTTATGAAAATGCTAGTGTGAATGCTACTGGCTGAAAACTTAAGTTGAAAGCTGCTGAAATTGAGCTGAATATGTTTAGTAGCAAAAATATTAATGCAAGTTCAATTTGAAAAGCTGAAAGGAACAAAAAATCCTTAACTTTGCAGAAAAACAGTAGGAATGAGCATTACTATAGCTAAAATCTAAATGCTAAAAAAACAGAATATAGCAGAAAGCAGCTGTAAGAAGATTATAAAGTTCAAATTTGCAGAAATAATTACAATACAGTTGAACATTGCAGTTAAACAGCAGAAAGAAGCAGAATTTTAGCTGGAGTAGCTAAAAAAATGCTAAAATTAGCATAAAAATAAGCTATAGGTAGCAGAAACAAGTTGAAAAGCACGGAGATAGTGAAAGTGTAAAAATATAACATTTGGAAAAAAAACCCTACTAGAAAAGTCATTATTTGTAGAAAAATAGCTAAAACTGAAGTTTTCAGTAAAACAGCTAAAAAGTAATGGGAAATGCTTTGATTAGCATAGGGAAGCATAAGGAGGACAAGTTTGCTGAACTTAGCAGAAATAAGTTGTAATAGCTACAATACTCAGCTTAAAAAAGCTAACTTTAGCTAATAACAGCAACAAGGTCTTGTGCGCTACATGTAATTATATTACATCATATTTTCTGTCAACTTTTAGCATAAAAAAAAAAAAACACATGGCGTGCTGCCAAAGCGGCCCACCACTGGGCTTAGACACTTTTCTGGGGGAAACCCTGATTAAATACATTATTGATTTTTCTTATACTTCATAGTCCGTGGGTCAAATAAAAAGAGCTTTAGTTTATTATAGTTTTTTTTATATTGGAGGACAGCTTATGTTCAAACACAAAGTTTCAGCTGGAGGTGTGAAATTACAGAATAGTTTCAGTGATTAAATAAAAGCACATTAAATGTACAATTATTCGTCAGTAAGTATAAATCTATGTGTGTGGAAGAGGAAAGGTCCAGACTGCAGTACTCACATCCTGCCAGACATGTTTGATCTCAGATCGCACCACGCTGCTTTCAGGGTCCTGGTTGCCCAACCAGTACTGCCGACTGCGGTAGATCACCCCACAGCTGGCACACTCCAACACATACCTGACAGAGAGGAAGAAGGAAACACCCACAGGACGACGTTACGACTCAACCGACTGACGGGCAGTCAAAGGGAGTGTATGTGTGCTCACTCACCCCGACCAGGCGTATTTAGCCAATCCAAACCACGGATTGTCAGAGGAAGCTGATGTTTTTGGCACAACAATCACCTCTCTGCCTCCTTCATAGCACCGCTGCAGATAAAAGCAAAGTGAGGAGGATAAGCACTGAATGTAAAGCTCAGTGTGATGACGCCGACTCACCTTACAGATGAGGACCTTGTTGTTGTACTGATGTGCAAACTGACACAGTCCATCGGCCATGTGGGGGATTCTGTCTCTGACATGGTTCATCCCATTTTTACAGCGGATGCTGACACAAAGAGAGACGACGATGAAGAAATACAAAATAAAGGGTTTTAATTCAGGTGACTGAACAGACCGAGTGATCATCATAAAATCAAAGGGCTATAGTTATAAACTAAGATTATCTAATGATGAGAAATAATGAAATTACAGCCGTTTTCTTCAAAACTTGAAACAATAAATCACATGATCAAATTCAAGAGTACATGTTAGGAACTCAACCATTTCAGCCTTGGCTAACGTTGATTAGCTGTGGTGACCATCTTTAATCTAGACCATTTTGTAGTTAAAAAATGTTACAAATGCTTGTGTGCGAGGTGGACACAGACCAGATCTATATCCTGAACTGATTCATGTTAAACTTTCCTTTGAGATTATAAATTAGATTTTTCATAAATATCTAAGCTGTAAATCTGCTTTTTGAGCTCGTTGAATTCACACACCTCCAATGATTTTTTTGTCTTTTCTTTGTTGACCTGTGACCCAGAAGAGTTAGGCTCTGCTAGTACTCATAAATATGAAGTGGTTTATTGGATTATCTTCAAAAGACAATCAGCAGTAATGGTACAACCAATGATTTACTTTTAACAAATTCATTCAACTCCTTCAAGTGGTTTATTAGATATTTTGCTGGCTTCCAGCAATTATTGTCAAAATCTTCAGCAACTGTTTTGTGAGAGCAGTTCGTGCTCAGGGTACGTGTTGTTGATGACTCTCAGCTACGACCAGAGGTCTATAAAGTACTTGATAAAAATAACTATGTTAAAATTAAATTACATGAACAGAAAATTACTTTGGTAAAAATAAATGTCACTGATGAGAAAACTACTAAAGTAAAAGTCTGAAGCAGTTCACAAAAATTGGGAAAGTAAAAGTACTTTTACACACACTCTAAGAAATAAACTGTTGAATTTACTGAACCAAACTGGTTCCACTAAGTCAGGTTGAGTAAATTGAGCAATTTATTTATATTCTTTGCTCAATTTACTCAACTAGGCTTAGTGGAGCCAGTTTACGTGACTTTGTTGCGTAAACTCAACACTACATTTTTTAATTTAGAGCATATAAACATCTTATTTCATGATCAGTTCAAACATATTTTATTTCATTTTAACTAGGTGTTACATTTTAAAGTAAAGAAGTAAAAGTATCATCTTTAGCTTTAAAATGTAATGAAATAAAAGTAAAAGCAGCTATTTGAAAAAATTATTGGTGAAATTACAAATCCTCAAAACACTACTTAAGTACTGTAACAAAATAAATGTACTTAGTTACTATAAACCTCTGGGTAAGACCACAAACTTAATATCAGTTTTAGTTGTACATCTACTAAAAATCTGCCCTCTGATTTAAAAGCAATTCATTAACAGACGGAGAAGCAGACACAAACATTATCGTTTGCCTTCTGGCGATAATCAGCACTGAATAAATACTGAAGATTAAAAAATGAAAGAGCTGCTTATAAGGAGAGTTCTTAATCTAGGAAGTTTTCTTAAATAGAAGTATGTAAAGAAACATCTTTAAATGAGAATAAACAGCAGATCAGAGTAGAGCTGGGTGGTATTGCTCTTTTTAATGCATGCGGTATTACAGGGGCGAGGTGGGTGTGGTCAGTGGTGTGTTGAGTATTAAATAATTAATGGAGAAATGGCTGCTTGTGATCATTTACATGTGTATAGTTTGACATTCTAGAGCCAGAGAGAGGAGAGGAGTCACAGGATGGCTTTTTCCCTTATATTGTCGAACAGATCAAAACACGGTCAAGTTTGTACTTTTAGTGTTTTGTATAAAGTTTGTAGTTATGTCCTCCTCTACAGCAAGGAGCTTGGGGGTCTTGGAAAAAAAAAGTTTAAATCCGAAAGGTGTCCAGATCTCATGGCTCGACTTAAGAAACCTGTGGCTGGGTGGTCCTTGAAGCAGTCTGTCGGCACTACACCGGCCCACCTTCTCAGGAGCCAGTGAGTAACATTTCTGACACTACCTCACAGGTAGAGAGAGACCCCCTCCCTCCGTTTGTCTTCTAGAAGGACAGCTGCGGTCAGAACATGCATCAGTAACGTTACGGAGTGTCTTCTGAAGGAGCCTAGATAGGCCTGTCGCAATAGTCAATAAATCAATTAATTGCATGATAAGTTATTTTGAGGTCGGTAAAAAAAATGAGGACGATAAGTTTCATTTTCCTGCTTGTTTGTTCACTTCGTCTCTCTCCCTCTCTGTGCTCCGCTACACAGGAGCTCAGCTGACCCCTCCCCTCCTGTTTTCTTAGTGTCGGGAGGAGTGAACTCTCGCTTTAGCGTGAGAGCTCGTAGCAAAAACAAACTAAAGAAACGTTTCAAAGCAGAACGTGGCTGCTGCAGTGTCGGAGCACTAGAGCCTGAATTTCGCTGCGGGGAGACACAGAGAGCGAGGAGGAGAAGGGGTGGGGGCTGAAACTCCCCCAGACCCGCGACAAACTCGTCAAGACTTTACCTGTAGCTCCCAAAAATAACAGGAAACTTAAACGCGCCATCTTTGTTTTAACTAAACCCCCAAAAAACCTGTAGCTGTCCCAACAACTCATGAGAAAACTCTGAACTGTCTGATTTCCTCCCCCGCAGCGCTCTGACTGTCCCCTCACTGACTGTCCCCTCCTCACACACACATAGACATGTTTGTTCTTCTATCCTCATGGGGACTTTGCATTGACTTTCATTCATTTACCAGTATTTTCTATTACCATCTGACCCTAAACCTAGCCTTAAACTTTACATGAGATGTGAACTGGGCTTATGTCCCCATAAGAAACAGTGGGTCCTCACCAGGCTGTGTAGTTTGCTTCATCTCTAAAGAGATGCTGCTCTTTAATATTGTTTATTTACTATCTTAGTTGTGTGTGGTGTTTAATTTACATTTTGTTGTTCTTTGTTTTTTTTTATTCAAGTGCATTTTTTGTTAGAGACTAAGAGTCCACTTTGTTAAACATTTTTTTAAAAATTAAAGTTTATTGATTTATTACACTTACATATTACGCTTTTATAATTATTAGTTGTAAAATGGTCACCAGGCAATATTATCGCTTATCGCAATAATTTGTGAGACAATTAATCGCCGGTTAATACTATAATAGTGTCATACCACCCAAGCCCGGACCAAAGCTTTGTTCCATAAAGTTGGGTTTCTCCTGAGAGAATCGTAAAGTTTTGAGCTCATTAGGAAAATATGTTTTGGGGGACTTTGAGGTTTCTCATTTTCTGCAGTAAAAATTGCTTTACTTTAATAACTCTGGATACTCAGTTATCTTAGAGATTAATGAAGTTAAATTATCCTACAAACATAAAGAACTTCATTTCCCAGAAAAAAGGAGACTAAAATGTGATTAAAACTAGAAATGCTGCTCTCATGCTTGGATACGTCCTGGTGTAGAGAACTGCCCTGACGTACTTGCAGCTGAGGCAGACGGAGGAACAAGTGAAGTACTCGTCCGGGAAGAAGGAGAACAGCGTCATCTTGTCGTCTGATAGCTCTCCACAGAAGCGCTTGCTCAGAGCCTGGGAGACATAAAACAAATGAAAGCTTAAAGAGCCAACATAAAACCAGATGAGAGCTAAAAGCAGGACGAGAGGAGAAAAAGCCCAAAAGACCAATTAAAGATGAAGACTCGCTCGTTTTCACTCCTCTGTTAAAGCTCCATAAGACCACTCACCTCCAGAGCGCGGAACACGATCCCCGGCTGGCGGGGGGAGCGTGTGTGAGTGTTCTTCACTTGCAGCCTGACGGCCACCAGCAGGCGGCTGTAGTCTGTGGGGGGGACGACGGTCTGAGTGCCGACATACTCCACTGAGCTGAAGGCCTCTGTGCCTAAACCCAGGTCATGGAAACGCTTCTGGAGCAGCGTGTCAGCGTGGCCCTTTGAGTCTGCAACAGAAAGAGACAAAAATAATAAAATTAATCAGCAGATCTTTAATAAATGCTGATCGCCTTGTGCCTCTGACACAGGTTTAAACTAAAACAATCTTATGTTGAGAAGCAGAGATTAAGTTGGAGTTGTTTTCATTTTGAATTTCATTGAAGTCACTCCAGAGTGAATCAGCTGTAGAGATATATCCAATGAATACTTCCTAAAAGTTTCATAAACATTTATCCAGTATTTCATGACAGAGTGTTAAAATATCAAACAAAGATCAGTCTCATCTCTACTCTATAGACCGAGTTACAGATTAACATGTTAAACATGGCAAGTGGATGACGATTATTAAAGGGCAATATTATGTGTTTCTCAGGCATACATTTAAATACTATACCACAACAAAGTATCTATGTCACCTTTAGCTGTTATTAAAATTCAGTTTTTATGTTTAAATAGAAAATAAACTTATCTTCTCACCACCTCCTCTTCTAAAGCCTTGAAATTGGCCTCTGTCTCTTTAAGAACTCCGCCATGAGGAAGTTCGGCTTAAAGACACAGCGTTTCTGGTCCCAAAAGGCGTTTTGCTCCTCAGCATGGCTGCCTAAAACCACTGCAGGATTTCTCAAACATGCATGAATGAAAAAGCAAGGCTTTTGGGCATGTTTTTTAATGAGAGTGTTAAAAAATAAACAGTGTTCGTTACACTTTACCTGTTCAGATCTAACACCAGTTAATAATAATGACGTGAATGTTTGAGTGAGCCGTACAAAACCATGCCGGACACAGCTGTGGTCTGATTAGCTTTTAATGTGCCTCCAATGGACACCAGCTAAACAGTGATCAGAACCAGGAATCACATCCAGAAACAAACCTCTTCGCATCCTGACTCCACCTCATGGCATATGTTAAAGGGGCAGGCTGTCTCTACACCGAGTCAAAATGTCAGACATTATTCCTCACCCTAATGTTTAATCACGGTTCTTATATGTGTTGTTTTAAATCAGACATGTATCTGACTAACAGCCACTTGAGTCTGTGAAACCCTGGTTAAGAGTCCCACAACCCAGTCTGCACATAAAATAATCAATTAAATCAGAGATAACCACATTATAAAAAGATATTACTGTTCACCTAATAAAAAACTATACAATGTGTAGTGTCTTTAAAAGTCAGTAGTGAACAACCCCAATAAATTTCTTCAAGAGTATGACATTATAACATGATATAAAACTCAAAAAAGTTGATTTTACATGATATTGCCCCTTTAATGACAATAAACTGTTTAAATATTTAATAGACAGAGGTTTTCTTTATTTTTTAAAGGTCAGTAGGCAGCGGCAGTCATTTCCACACTATAAGCCGCTACTTTTTTCACACGCTTAATTTACTGCAGCTTAAACAATAATGCGGCTATTTTGTGAACTTTTACTGTGCAGGTGCTGATGTGCAGTCAGTGTTGCTTCACGGTTTGTTCCTCTTCATGAAAAAATAAAATAAATTAGGTAAATTTCTTTCTGAGAATCGCCCTTCACTGACCTCACGTCTTTGTTTTGCTAAGTTTTCATTTCTTTGACACAGTCTCCATAACACTCTGCATAAATCAAATCCATATTTCTGCCCTGTTTTGATTAGTTAATTTTTTAACACAGTAGACGTGTTGTGACTGACAGCTAGACCTGTCACCATAACAAATTTTACTGGACGATATAATAAAAATAATCGTATGTGGCAGGCCTACTGACAGATGTTGTTTTCTTTTTACACTGTGTACATTTTAATGTAAACTTCCATAAACAGAGGTTGTTAAATCATTGTATTAGTTTAAATTGGTCTCCAACAATATTATCATTTATCGCATTAATTTCCATTATCGATTAATCACCGATTATTTTTTCGATTAGTTGACTAATCGAATCATATGTTAATTGAATATAAAACAAACAGCTTATCGCGCCAGAATGCAGCTGCTATTTTATAGCCATTGTTAGATTTTAGCATTATGCTAACTAAAAATAATTGCTGTGGAAGGCAAGTTCTGCTCTGCAGATATTACACAGGTTTCTCTTTCATTTTCTTAAAATGATCCCACACTTTTGAGCTCCGTTGTCAGGTAGCCATGATACCAGAGCCTGTCTGTATAATGTCTTGTGACGTCCACGGCCTACCCCAGTTACCACTACTGTGCATGTGTGTCAAGGACAGAAAGGCAGATGTGGCAGTGGAAGGTGTTAAAGCAGTTTGGAGAGAAAAACAAAGTAAAGAAAAAAAAAAAAGAAAACGATTAATCGATTATTAAATTAGTCATCCATTATTTTAATAATCGATTAGTCGTCGATTAATCGATTAATCGTGGCAGCCCTATCTGTCAGTAATCCCAAGGTGTTGCCAGCTGTATGAAGGCATCAGAAAACTGAAGACGTTCCTCTGGCTGAATGCCTGTTCACAGGCTTTTAATGCTACAGAGGCTTGAGACCATGTACCTGGCAAATACCTCTTTATGTTAAGAAGTAAAAAAAAAGAAGGAAACATGAAGAAAACAAACAAAAAAAACATGCAAATGAAAATTATTGTCTTCATTTTAATTTACCTTCCTCAATTTATCACACGATTAATTAATTAATTGATTTATTGTGACAGGCCCATTGACAGCTGACACTGCTTCTCTGCCTTCATGTCTTTCTCTCTTCTCGCCTCCTCCTCCTCCTCCTCCTCCTCCTCCTGCACAGGAGGCAGAGACAGAAATAAGGAAGTTTATCTAATGGCTGCACACTGCAGCCACTAAATAATGTTTGTCAAATTTTTATTTTCTTTATTTGACTTTTTATAATTTGACCCAGTCAAAAGTGGGACATTGTGTGTGTATGTGTTGCATTGTGCACGTTGGGCCTTGTGTGGGACAGACACAGTGTTGTATAAAGTACCACAAAGTGATACTTGAGTAAAAGTACAAGTATCTTACCAAAGAATTACTTCGGTAAAAGTTAAAGTCTCCTTTAGGAATATTACTTGAGGAAAAGTCTTAAAGTATCTGATATTTGTTGTAGTTAAGTATTAAAAGTAAAAACATTGATTTAAAATGAGCAGTTAGATTTTCTGTAAGGACATTTATTAGGAGGTGACGTCCCCAAAACAATACAGAAATGACTGTCGTAGTAAAATAATTAATTTATGTTAAATTTAGGATGCACTAGTCCAGCTGTTTCAGTTTATATATATTTATCAAGGCTGCACAAAGCTTTTCTCCAACATAAAAATCTATCTGAGAGCTGCAACCAAACGTAATCATATAATTCATGAAATACAAATACTTCTTAASTACAGTCCTTTTATTTTAATGATTATGTCCTGCTGGAGTGTGACATGATTTGTTTGTGTACAAACTAATACGGTATCAGGGTTTTATATATTTATACTTCTCATTCAACCACAATTAAATTCACTCTAGGAGGCACAGTTTATATGGATAGTATTTATTTTTTTACAATAACAAGCTGGAATAAAAACAAGCAAAAATGAAATAAAGTAACAACTTTCTACTTCTTGTCTCTTTTAAAAAATGTAAGGAGTATAAAGTACAGATAATTGTGTGAAAATATAAGAAGTAGAAGTAAAAAGTAGGTTGAAAAATAATTACTCAAGTAAAGTACAGATACCCAATAATTGTACTTAAGTACAGTAACAAAGTAGTTGTACTTAGTTACTTTACAACTCTGGACAGACACACTGTTTTTGTGCAGCAAGTGAATCGTGCTTGTGCGGCATTGTGTTGGTCAGGACCTGAGAGGTGCCACGTTGCTGGTTTTGTGTGTCACCCACATGATGTGCAGTGATAGCTTTGTGCGTATACACTGCAGGTGCCCCTGTGTGTAACATCTTTCTGTGTAAATATCTCATGCTACAATGCAAACAACTGCACCTAAGCTTTTTTTTTTGTTTGCTTTATTTATTTCAAATATGTAAATTATGCCTAGATTCTCACTTATTACAAACTAACATACCGGTACATGTCACAATATTAAATAAAATTTAAGGAAGTACAATAACTACAGAACACTTGTTAGAAAATGTTAAAATTGAGTGGGTGTGGATTATACTCAGTAGTCCAGAAATGACAGTAATTGTGTTTCTATAAAATTTGTCCAATGATTTGTAAGATATGTTGGTAAAATGCAGGCACACAGGAAACATTACTGCCATCACGGGGCGGCTGTGGCGGAGTGGTTAGGGGAGTCGTCCTGGAACCAGAAGGTCACTGGTTCGATCCCCCGTCCAG